TGGCGGGGGCCGGGGGTATACAGGCCAGGGTCTGGGGTGTGCAGGTGGGGGGGGGGCTGACTGGGGCCTGGGGTGTGCAGGTGAGGGGTGGGCTGACTGGGGCCTGGGGTGTGCAGGTGAGGGTGAGCTGACTGGGGCCAGGGGTGTGCAGGTGAGGGGTATACAGGCCAGAGCCTGGAGTATGCAGGTGAGGTGTGGGCTGGCTAGGGCCTGGGCCTTCACAGGCCAGCACAGGACACAGCTGATCCTTCCCTGCTGCTGGCCTTCATCCCAGGCCCCTGCTCCTAGGCCACAGCTGCAAAGAACTGGGTCTTACCTTCCTGAAGTCGGCCACGCTCAGGAGCCCAGTCCCACCCTCGTCATAGGATTTGAATGTGCGGTGCATGGGCCTCCAGCAGTGTACGATCTTGGGCTGGATGTGCAGCAAGGCAGAGTAGAAGGAGGGGGTCTCCATGACAGCCTCTTTCTGAAAACAAGAGCAGGAAGAGGTTTTGAGGAGGCACTGTGTGTCTGTGCACCCCCTCCCCTCCTCCCCATGGGACAAGATCATAGTCTCTAGGATGAAGTGTGCCTCCTGCTCCCACAATCTGGGGGGTGGCCATCTCCCAGCCTAGGTCTCAGAGGCAGAGGGAAGGGACAAGATCCCAGCTCTGATTCCACCACAACAGTCACTTCCCCTTGTAGGAAGTGCGAGGACACGGGTATCTGAAAAATCACCAGGGGTCTGACCCATGCAGTGATTAGCTGGCACGCTCCACTGTGCTCACTTCATTAGGTGCTACAGGATGAAAACAGGGTGCTTGTGTGTTTTAGCCCCTCTTAGCATATGCCAGAGGTGAACTACAGGCAAGAATGTGTGACACATCTCAGGAAAGCTTTGTTTCAACATGGTGCTACCTAAAACAAATTAGCGCAGTTAAATTGCTTTCCCATCGTGTGTCACTTGGCACCTGTGACGGAGCCACCCCCAGTGCCCCGGAGCTCTGCTAGCTGCCAATCTGCTTAACTGCAGGACTGGGCTCCCGGTCTCTCCCACTCAGTGCACAGCCAACCTGACCTGAGGCTTAACTGCCGGACTGGCTTCCTGGCCTCACTCACATGGTGCACAGCCAACCTGACCTGAGGCTTCCATCTGCTGCCGGAGCCACCGTCCCACATGCCTGTGCTGCTGAAGGTTCCGAAGACACTTCCAAGACTCCAGAGGAGGACGCTCTCCCCTTGCTTTGTTTCTCTGAGGGGCTTCTGAGCTGAGGCTCAGTCCAGCCTGTGGCCAGGATAGCACAGGCCCCTCTCAGGAGCTCATGCACGTAGCCTCTCCATCCAAGTGGGGGAAGACGGAACCATTCTGAAGCACAGACAGGGCAGGGAGAGCCCAGAGGGTGGTGACAGCTGCCAAGAGCCCCAGCTCCCTAGCACCCCCAGCTCCCAACATGGCCCTCCAGATTCTCTGAGGATGGACAGAGGTCTTAGGGTGCCCTCTTCACTGGGCGGTGAGATGGAAGGAGCAGTGTGCGTGCTTCCTCACAGAGGCCTACTATCTACTCTTCACAAGGCACCTTAGCCCGTTTAAAGAAGGGGAAACTGAGGCCAGGAGAGCAGAGGGAGGCCTTGCAGGTTGCCTGATCCCCATGGTTCTCTAGGCTCCTGCGCTCTGGGGGGTTCCATGGACAGCATCTCCCACCCACAGAGCTGGGCCAGTGGAAGTTAAGTGCTGTCTTGACTTTATGGTTTTCTTTGTGAATTTGGCCTTGCATTTGAGCTGGCTCCCCATGGCTAAGCCACACCAGGGAGCCTGATCTCCTGGAGAACTAGAAGCCAGCTGCTTATGGCTTCCTGCGAGGTTTGGAGGACAAACCCACTTGTTCCCAGTCCCTCTGATGGCTGCCTGGGGTGGGTGGTGTGGGAACTGACTTGGTCACCCACACATCTACCACCTCCTTACCTCCTGCTTGAGCTATAAGGAATTGGAAGCAGATGCGTTTCTTCCCCAGGACCTTGTGCCCGCTGGACAAACCCTCTACCACTCAGCTATGTGCCCAGCCTGACTGTACTGGTCACTTAGCACAGCCTAACCTGACTCAGTGTTATAGACGATGGAACAGGATCATCAAACCCATCTTCTAGTACCATGTTTTGTTTGTTTGTTTTTTGTCTTTTTGAGACAGGGTCTCCCTGTAGTCCCGGCTGATCTGAACTCACTATGTAGACCAGGCTGGCCTTGAACTCACAACAATCTGTCTGCCTCTGCCTCCCAAGTACTGGGACTAAAGGCGTGCGCCACCATGCCCAGCATGGCACCATGTTTTGGTGACTGAGCCAGAATGGTTTTGAAGACTGAAGAAGGGGGTAGTGGGGCTGAAGGAGGAGCCAGAGATGCCCATCCAGCTGGGGCTTAGGATCTTCAGAGTCTTCTCTCAAACAGCAGAGTGTGGTGGCACATACTTGCAATCTCTGCATTCAGGAGGCTGAGGCAGGGGGATTCCAGGAGTTCAAAGCCAGCCTGGGTTATGCAGTGAGACCCTATCTCAAAGTGCAACCCCCTCCCCCAACAAGAGCAAGAACAAAATAAAAGATGAAAAGAAGGCAGGTGGGAGGGAGGGAGGAGGAAGGGAGGAGGAATGGAAGAAGAGGGAGAGCAGGAAGTACCTGCTTGTGCAGGAAGGGAGAGAGGGAGGCAGGAAGAAAGGAAAGGAGCAAGACAGGAAGGAAGGAATGACACAGGACGGACTGTGGGCAGTGAGCTGCTCAAGCCCCACCACACTCAGCCCCGTGTCCCCACCCCCCTTAGCGTTGGGCACAGGCCTTGACACACAGACCCAGCCACCTCAGCTGGCCTGGAAGCCACCTGCTGTTTGAGTAATGGGGGGGATTAGGGGACAAGATCTAAGAGGCATGTGTGAGGCTGGGGAGTGTGGCTAGGTCCACCTGCGCTGAGGGGCGCCCCGAGGTCTCCCGGGATGTACCGTCTTGTCTGCATTCTGGATCTTCATCCTCTGCGTCAGCGAGGTCTCCTTGGCTTTCAGCAGCAGCACGCAGCTCTGGATGAAGTCACAGTAGGCGAACCTGCTGTTGTTCTTCAGGTCATACTTCACAATGAGCCGCTGGCCCTCCTCCATGCTGAGGTCCAAGTTGAACTTCTCCACGAGGGCTGAGGACAGAAAAGGGATGGCGTGGTTGGTGGGGAGTCACAGAGTCATGGCCAGCCTCATTCAGTCATCCACTGAGCCCTGGCTGAGGCTGAATCCGACTGCAACACCCAGAAGTGCCCAGTGGGCTCCTGTCTTTCTCCCTCTGCCTGAGGTGCTGGATTTGTGCCCGGGAGCGTGGCTCCTGCTGATGGGGGTGAATACATCTTGCCAAGGTTGGAGGCAGAACAGACCCAGGAACTCGGACACTGTGATGGCCCCCCGTTTGTCCACATCCTTCTCTTTGCACTCTTTCAGGAGCTCGCGCCAGCAGCCCTGGACCTGCTTGTGGAGCTTGCTCTCGATGGGCTTGCAGTTCTGCAGGGGTGGGGTGCCCACCGGGGTCTGCGGGAGGGGAGAGAAAGGGTCTCTTAACTGGAGGTCTGACTGGGTGGTCACAAAGCTGCAGAGGACTTGGGGTCTGAGAGTCAGTTCCACAGGAGTCAGTTGAAAGTTCACAGCGATGCTGTCGCACAAGCTAACTTCTGCTTCTACCTAAGGGCTGTGTAAAGCCAACCCACAACAGCCAGAAGAGATTTGGGAAGATGCACACAGCCGAGCTGTGGGGACAATCTACCCTCTTCTGCCCTTTCCGGTTTCTAGAAACTCCCTGCACTCCTTGCCTTGGGGCCCATCCCATCTTCAGGACCAGCTGGTCAGGACTCTGTCTTAGGCTGTATCCCCCTCATGCCCTTCTTCCTCCAGATTCTGTTTGAAGCCCCTGAATGCTGGTGGCCATCTCCATCCAGATCTCAGCTGACCAGCAACCTAATCCCCCTCTTTGCCATGTAAGGTGACTAGCTTTGGGGGACTCCTGACCCACCTCTAGCTCGCTAACACACCGACTGTCTCTCACTGTCATCTCCCATGACATAAACCCTTTGTCCTTTCTGAGCTATAGCAAATGCACGATGCATGGTAGGCATGCAGGAGACAGGGCTGCATGATCGTGGACGGTGCGTGCCTGGGGCCATCATGTTCTGGCACACGGTGTAGGAGCTCAGCAGGTGCCTTGTGGGCCTGGCATGGTCCCACCTTCCCTTCTCTCACTAACCCAGCTTCCACTAAGACTAGGGACACCATCGAGGGCAAAGGAGCTGCCAGGAGCCTGAGCATCTCTTTTTCTCCCAGGCCTGGGCTGCCCTGGCCCAGGGCTCAGAACTCCATGTCAAACTCAGGACCGGGGCACAAGAAGGCACCCTTGGTCTCTCTGGGCACAGCTGTGAAATGGGTACTCACCTGTGTGGGTGGTGCCCCAGCACAGGATTATTCCTCAGAAGCCAGGTGCTTCCTGTCTGTGGGTGCTCTATGCTACCCTCCTCTTCCTCCCTGCCTACTGTCTGTCCTTGCTCCTCTCTTCCAGGTCCCCTTTCCCATCCAGCCCCTCCCCACTCTTCTTGAGTCCCCACCTCCAGGGATACTGACATTAGAAGGCCCCCCAACCCCGTTCATGCGTCCAATTTCTCAGTCACCTGCACCTGGGGAAGGAATACTGAGTAGGCGCCAATCCCCACTAGGGTCCTTGGGGTTCATGGACCTGGTGGGAGGTGAACTGGGCACTTGGCAGGCTGGGAACTCACACAGGGGTGACTCCGAGATTTCAACCCTGCTCTTGGGTCCCGAGAGGGTAAGAGGATAGCAGATCTGGCTCCTTCTGAGACCTCGGGGGCGCTGCTCCCCCTCTGGGCTGCAGTGGAGTCTCCCGAGTCACCCCCAGCCATGGGTGGTGAGGGTGCCCTCTCTGTGCCGAATCTCTTCAGGAAGTCCTGGTACTTTAGCCTCCCCTTGGCATTGATGGGCATCTTACTCCAGAGTCTGTCAAACTGAGAAAGCAGTCAAGTCAGGACCACAGGAGAGTGGAGCCCAGCCGGGGTCTTATAGGTGTCCTGGAGATGTGGGGCTGATTATGGCCGGACAAGACCACGGTGGATGTTATTGGGCCAGGGTTTGTGTCAATTAAAAAGAAATTAAGAAAGGGAAAAAAATCTATTTGGCTTCTGCTGAATGGAAGCCTCTGGAAGACTGAAGAAAGGAGTCAGAGGGCTATTCACGGCTTCCGCAGGACATTTTTTAATTGAATTGGGTCCTCAGTGAGCAGTTAAGGCCATTAAATCTTGTGATTAGTCACAGTGACTGAGCTGCAGTGTATAAAAACATTTTAGGAGAATATGCAAATCAAACCTCGGCCCACCTCAGTCCCAGGGAAGCTGCCGCCTCATTTCTCAGCCTCCCCAGCACACCTGAGTCGCTGGTGCCACAGCCTCGGCCGCCGCGTCTGCATCCACAATTTATTTCACCCCAAGGGCAAGAAACGACTTCTTGCAAGATGAAAAGGAAGCATTTGGAAAAGCGGGACAAGTTTATGGCTTTTTGTGGCTGCTTCTTGATGCCACAGACTGCATGAAAACCACACACACAGAGGAACAAAATGAGTAGAGCCTCCTACGCAAGCACCTTTGATGATGGGGATTTGGGGGGATTTCAGGGAGTCAAGAAGCAAGTGCTGCCCCCCACTGGACTGGGTGCACAGCCCTATTTGGAGCCTTAGCTATCAGCCCCTGGGAGGCTAGGCTGCTCTGGGTCTGTCTCCCATCCCTTTGAAGTCCTTGCTAGTTGCCACGTGAACCCACTAGATTCCCAGTTCTGTAATTCCAGTTCTAGGGGATCAGACACCCTCTTCTGGCCTCCATGGGCATTGTACAACATGGGTACACTTACATCATACAGGCAATACACTCATACACATAAAATAATAAAATATTAAACTCTTCCATCATCATAAAACCCACAGGCTCAAACTCCGTCTGAACCTAGCTTTCACTAGGTCTGCTCCCTGAGGATGCTGTGAATCGCCCAACCCCCACAGCTCCTTCCGGTCAGGACACTGAGGTAGTCAAGACCTTCTTGCTAGATAGCTTCAGCTGTCAACACAGCAGGGAAGAGGGAACCTCAATTGGAGAATTTCCTCTATCTGAATGGCCCATGGGCATGTCCGTGATTGCTGAGTGATATGGAAGGGCCCAGCCCACTGGGTGGTGCCACCCCTGGGCAGGTGGTCCTGGGTTGTACAAGAAAGCAAGGAGCAAGCCAGTAAGCAGCATTCCTCCATGGTCTGTGTTTCAGTTCCTGCCTCCAAGTTCCTGCCCTGAGTTCCTACCCTGGCTTCCCTCAGTGATGGGCTGTCAGTTGGAAGAGTAAGATCCTTTCTTTCCCAAGCTTGTTTTGGTCAGCGTTTGATCATAGCAACAGAAAGCTAACTAAGCGCCCTCTATAAACACGAGATTGCCTCATCTGGGTCCTTTACATTCTCTCTCCCTCTTCCAACATGGCAGCCTCAGCAAAGAAGAAGAATAAGAAGGGAAGACCCTCCCTAGCAGACTTTTTGGCTGAGGATGGGGGAACTGGTGGAGGAAGCACTCACGTCGGCTGGGCTGACGAAACAGGACCTGGAAGGAGGCGTGCCAACGGCTTGGCACAGCAGCCACAACGATGTGTACAGGGCACCTCCAACTGACTGCTCCACCCTTCCCTCTGCTCCAGGGGCTGCTCGGGAACCCAGTATCGCCCGGAGCCGTCTTCCCAAATCGCCACCCTACACTGCTTTCCTGGGGAACCTGCCCTATGATGTGACAGAAGACTCCATTAAGGAATTCTTCAGAGGACTAAATATCAGTGCAGCATGCTTACCATGTGAACCCAGCAATCCAGACAGGCTGAAAGGTTTGGGCTATGCTGAGTTTGAGGACCTGGATTCCCTGCTCAGTGCCCTGAGTCTCAATGAAGAGTCTCTAGGTAACAGGAGAATTCGAGCGGACGTTGCTGATCAAGCACAGGATGATCGCTCTTTTGGCTGAGATAGAAATCGAGAGTCTAACAAAACAGACAGAGACTGGAGAGCTGATCCTGCCACAGAGAGTTTTGATGACTGCCCGCCTAGAAGAGATGATAGCTTTGGAGAGAAGTATCAAGATCATCATTCAGACTGGTATCAAGATGGGTATCGGGATGGCGCACTCCGGGATATGGATCGCTATGGGGGTATGGATCACTACAATGACTGAGGCTATGACAGGGACCCCAGGATAGGCAGTGGCAGACAGCATTTGGTAGTGGGTACCGTAGGGATGGCGACTACAAAGGAGGTGGGGACCGCTATGACAGACGGGATGATTGGTCACGGAGCTCCAGAGATGATTACTCTCAGGATGATTACAGGCAAGATGACAGAGTTCCCACTAAAGACCCAAACTGAATCTAAAGCCTCAGAGTCCTCCTAAGGAAGCTGATTCCTCTTCTAGCCCCTCCCAGTCTAGTCCGGTGGCTTCTGTCTTTGGAGGGGCAAAGCCTGTTGACACAGCTGCTAGAGAAAGAGGAGGAGCTGCTAGAGGAGTGTCAGCTGGATGAGCCAAAACTAGACCTGTGGCCCTGGGAGAGACACCCAAGTTGGCGAAGTGAAGAAACTCGGGAACAAGAACAGTCAAGGACAGGAAGTGAGTCATCACAGACCAGGACCTCAGCCACATCTGGCAGAAATACATGAAGGAGAGAGAGAGAGAAGTCTCTAGAAAATGAAGCTCTCAATAAAGAAGACGACTGTCATGCTAACGTCTGAGCCTCCCAAACCTGATCGCCTCTAAAGGTAATGCCGGCCCCTCCACCAAAGGAGAATGTGTGGGTGTAGCAGAGTTCTAACCCACCTGCTCGATCTCAGAGCTTAGACACAGGGCAGCAGTCCCCTACAAGTGGTGGGGGGAAGTAGCTACAGCTCAGCCATCTGAGGAAGGACGGGCGAGGAGGGATGAAAACCAAACAGACGAGTGAGTGTCCCCAAAGGCCAAACTGGGGGCCCCGGCTGTGGTCCTGGAGGCGGAGGGAACCAAGACCGCTGGAAGGGGTCAGGCAGGAAAGATGGCGAAAAAAGCAAGACTCCAGATCTGCACCTGAGCCAAAGAAACCTGAAGACCCAGCCTCCAAGCTCAGCTCCGAGAGCAAGTATGCTGCTCTCTCTGTGGATGGTGAGGATGAGAACCAGGGAGAAGACAACATCGCACAGACTGCTACAGCCTGTGCTGCCTTTCCACCCTGGAACATTCAAGAGCAAATCAAACCTCTATCCAGACAGGACAAAATAAACCTCACCATCTCCTGAAAAAAAAAGGAAGGGAGGGAGGGAGGGAGGGAGGGAGGAAGCTAACTAGCACAGTCTCCCTTGTACGCATGTGAGGAAGCCAGGCCTTGCAGGCTCCTAGTCTCCACCTCAGCATGCCCTCTTCTGATGTCACCCTTGACCACTGTATTCCTGAAGACAAGCACAGGTCCCTCTCAACCCCAGCCCTTCCATCTCCAGCCTTCAGCCAGCCACTCACAGGCTCCCTCAGGACGACACTGCTATCTGTGATGCCCTGCTCAATTTCCAACACTGCTCTCTGCCTAACTCCGTGTGCACCCCCCTCTCTGTGTGCACCCCCCTCTGTCCATCACCGCTTTCTGTTTCCACCTCCCCTGTGTCCACCCCCTTGTGTGTCCACTCCCCTCTCTCTGTCCACCCACCTCTGTGTGCACCCATCTGTGTCCATCCCTCTCTGTCCATCACCCCTCTGTGACAGCCCCCTTTCTGTGTCCATCCTCCTCTCTCTGCATCCATCACCCCCTCAAGACCTGCACACTCACTTGCGCTTTGCTTCACTGTGGTCCTCAGCTGCCCTCTGGGGCTCACCCCACCCTCTTGCTATGCTGAGCTCTCCTGGCAAAGCTTACCTGGCAAATGCAGCAGCAGTGTAACAGCACAGTCCCAAGGGTCCCCCATAAACCCAGTCAAATACCAGCTTCCAATGAAACAAAATCACCATGCACACGGAGAAGCAAGCCCCCAACAAGGCAGGGCAGGCTCTGCGCTCATACCAGAACTGTTAGGGGCTGTGCAAGACTGCATATGAAGTCAAGTAGTAAACACTGGTATTAAAATCAGCAAAGAGAAAGACAAGAAAAGTGACACTTGAAATGAGAAATGAATGTAGTTCCTCAAAACAAAAAATAAAATCACTGGAAAAGTTGAAAACAATCAATGCACACCTTAATAACAGACTTCATACAGCTGAAGAGAGCACTGGTGAGCTTGGGGGTGAACTAGCCAGTGTGGGTGGACTAGCGCGGGTAGAGGGACTAGCACCAGTAGCAGCACCATCCAGAGAGCTTGTTGGGCTCTGCTTGTGGAGTTCTGACAGTTCTGATGTCCCCCCAGCACCAAGCTGTGACCTGAAGGGGTGGCATCAGGAGAAGCCGGAAGATGGTGGAATTGACGGCTAATTCACAATTTTCCACTCAGAAAGATTACCTAGGAAAAAAGTACAAATTTAAGGCTTTTTAGATAAAAACAGAATTTACCAGCAACTGATCACAGCCAAAGATTGTATTTCATGAAGAAAAAAAATAGTAAGACCAGAATAAAGATGTAATGTAACAACCACACTGAGTAAATGCCTCTGGGGGCAGTGAGCCTGTGAGGGTTTAATGTGGAGAAAAACTGCAAGACAGATCTAAAAGCCTGACAGTAACAGGAAATGCAGAGAGATGATTTGATTACAGCAACTTAATATCTTACAAACCAGAGAGCAATGGAGATGTGTTAGATCCTGGAATCTGTTTTGTAACCCATGGTAAATTTTAAGGGTAATGGCCAGTTACTGGTTAAAAGCATAAAAGTAGGATATGTAACTTTTGACCAATAGAAAGTTAGATTAGAAAGGGTTTTTTTTTTTTTTTTTTTTTTTGGTCTTTTTGAGACAGGGTCTCCCTGTAGCCCCAGCTGTCCTGGAACTCACTA